AGGGAGGGAGCAGGGGATTCAGGGGGCACTCCAAGCACCTCAGAGTTGGCTGTCCAGGTCCTCCACCTGCAGTGGGCCATGGCAGGGGTGGGGGGCGGTCACTTGGGCAAGCTGCATGGACCCCAGAGCTCCAGTCTCCTGCTTAGTCTGGTCTGAGAGGTTTTACTGTTCTCATGGCTACTTCTGTTTTCTAGTTTTGAATTAGTTTTCGATGTGGTAGGTACAGAAAAAAGAAAAGTCCCATCCACGTGTCCTGCATGGCAGCCCAGCCAGTTCAGGCGGGGGAGCTGTAGACCCTTGTGCCTTGGGTGGGCTGTGCCACCGAGTGAACAAGGGGACCCTGCCTGCCCAGCAGCACCCCTCTTATTCCGGAAGCCAGTGTCACCATCTGTGCTCTCACCTCTTCTTTCTAACTCAGACCACCTGTCATCCCCCTTTCTTGGTTCTGCTGCCCCACTCTTGCCCTCCTGTTATGTTGGCTGCTGGGCCCTTGGTCCTTCTGGGTGCTCTCACTGCCCCCTCCCCTGCGGACTGAGGGATCACTTGAGGCTGCCGACTTGGAACACGCAGTGGAATTTCTTTGGAATTCCCTTTGATGAGTGTTTTTAATTTTCCGTCCTTCAGTGTTATAGAAGGGACTGAGGGATCACTTGAGGCTTCTGATGGGTTTGCCTTTGTCCTGCCCACTAGAGAGCTGGAGAAAACCCATGGTTAATGCAGCTAAAAGAATACGTGATTCTGGACTCTTCCCCAGGTTCTGGTTGTCCACCGTGCTAGTGTACCCAGGTGGGGACGTTCTTGATCTGGACCTTGAGTGCTGTGTGTGGGAAATGTTTATTTTTCTGTCTTGAATGACAAGTTCAGGTTAAGTCTGCATCTCCCTGTTGACTCTGTAAGCATGTTTGACACCTGCTACCTAGTTCCTAGTGGTGGAGACTCATCTTTGTCTTCTCAGCCTGAAGAGCCCAGTGCCCTTGGGAAGCTGTCTCCACTTCCTCCACCATGTCTGCTTTCCCTCTAATTTGCTTCTGCAGCTGGCAGTGCTCCTTTGGCACAAAGAGTAACCTGAGGTCTTCTCTGGTGATGACATTATAGAATCAGACATGCAAGGATCCTCCTTGTGCAGTGGGACGTAGAGTAATTTCAGGGCTGGCTTCTACCGTTTGAACTCTCATACCAAATATTTTGTGATTTATGCATTGGTTTTCCCTAGTGAATACCTAAATACTCTATTGTTGTTAAACTAAAGAAATATCTATACTATATAGAGCTTGGCAGTTCATAACTAAGCTTATTTTTTACTTTACCAAGAGCAGAACTAACAACTACAGGAAATTATGTATTTGCTCAGCATTTTCATCAGTCTCCAAACTCTTAGAATAAGTAATATATAATTTGAATATGCTAAAAGTACAACATTTAGAATGCCATTGTTTTCTTCCTTGTCTTTTTCTCTCCCGCATCTTGTTCCAAACAAGATTCAGGGTAACTTGCATAAGCACACACAGTTTTCTTTTTTAATGGATAATTGAGGCAAAAGGAAAATAAATGTAAGAAAAATATGAAGCCAGAGATTGAAAATCTACCAAGTCAGCACCAAACCCCAGCAATGTGCTGGCAAAAGAAACTGCTGGGCTGGACTTGGGAATGATCCCCAGTGTCTGTGACAACAGGAGAGGGCCTGGGGCCTTGCAGGTTGTGGTCTGTCCTCATCAGTGGGGTGAGGGCCGCCTCCCTTGTTCCTACAGTGGAGGGAGACAGCTAATGACCGAGTGAGGTTGGAGGGCCCCCAGGTGGCTGCACGCCTGCCTGGCCTGAACTTTGACTTCTCCTGTGAGGTCTAAATCCAGCACCCATGTTATTATGAAATTGGTGTTTTTCTTCTTGCTTTTCAATATGCTTATAATCTGTGAATATTTGTATTGATGAAACTTTGTTTATTAGGGTATATTTATGCAGTTCATGGAATTAAAAGTGAAAATAGATTATGATTCGGTTTTCCCTGTAGGAAAGGAAGAACCATCAGAAGTGATGGCTCTAGAGCTTTGCTGGTGGAGGTGTTGCTGGGAGCAGGGAGAGAAGAGGAGGGTGAGCTTCCCTCCCCTTCCACCCCTGTTCCCACCTGCAGGGATAGGGAATGCAGGTCCTCGGTCTCTTACCTGCTATTACCCAACCCAGGCTTTTGGACAGACTGTTGAGCCTTTATTGTTTCACTGCAGAAAGAGTGGTGCCTTTGATGAGGGCTTGTTGCCCTAGACTTCACTGGAGTGGGTATTCAGTATGTGGCCCGGGCACCGCATTGCCTTTTGAAATCTGAAAAATTTTGATCTCCTGAAACCCACCTAGCAGTGGGGCTCTGAATCGAGGCTTGGGGCCTCTCCTCTTGTGCTTGGGACAGGACAGAGCCCTGGGGTATGTGGGGGTCACCAGCCAGCCTAGCGTGGTTGTGGCGTGACAGCCCCAGTTAGCAGTCCTTGGTGAGGGGGGCTCAGGTAAGAGCACACATGGCCCGGGAGCTGGCTGTGTAGTTGCTGCTGTTGCTTAAGGGCCTGGTGTGAGTGGAGGCCATCTGAGCGGAAGGAGCCGTCACTGAAGGCTGCTTCTCCTGGTCAGGCCCTGCAGCAGCCAAGTCAGTATACAGCATCTTTTCCCGCTGAGTTTTCTGTGGCCTTTCCCATCCCCATGTTTTAAGTTCAGCAACAGCGAGGAGCATGTTCGCACCCAAAGCCAATGCAAGCGGGAGAGTCAGAGCTGCTGGGTGAAGCCTGAGTTCTAGGGCCAAATTTACCCCTGCCCAGTGCTTGACTTCAGCTTTGTTATGTGGGAAAGAGGGATTTCACTCTCTCATTCATCCATGTATTCGGTCATTCACTCACTCAAGCATACATTCATTCAGTGAGTGTTTATTTCGCAACATGTGCTGGGCCTGGGGCTGGGGGCAGTGAAAGGGACAGATGAGGTAGTTGTAGTGCAAACCCTTTAAAAACCACAGAGCACCTGACTGTTGTGTTTTACCTGTGACTGAGTGTTCTGGGCATATGTTAACGTGCAGCATTTTACCCTTTATGATACCCTGTTTATTAGCTCTCCAAGGTCCATCAGGGAGGGAGGGGCAGGTCTTGTTTGTTTCTACTTGAAAGGGTGATGCCCAGTGCATCATTTTGATGTGTGAAATGTCCAGGGGGTGATGTGCTCCTCTGGTGGGGAGTGCTGGGCTACCTTTCTCAGTACTCCCCTCTTACGTGTTTAAGCTCGCCATCTTCCAGAGAAATGTCAGTAGTGCATCCTTTAGACTCTGCTAAAAATGCAGCTCTTTTCATACAGGAACCAGAAAATATAGACATGGTGTGAAAACAAGCAGCCAGTGTGGGGAAGAGCTGCAGAGGAGTTCATGAGTTGGGATGCTGAGAGATGGGCAATAAATCCCAACTTTGGGAGGAGCTGAGGCACAGTTTGGCTTGTGGTCGCCTGGGAGAATGTGGATGAGCTCGTTATAGCAAAGCTCCTGCTTGGGTGGCCCTTTAGTTCTGCTGCTTTAAAATGTGGCTGACATGGCTCATCACAAATTCCAAGATGGACAGGTTGGCCTGATCCAGGCAGTGAGCACCCGGCAGGCATGCTGAGCCCAGGATTTGGAGGTCACCCATGGTCCACCTTCCTCGTGTTCCGAGACGACCCGTTGGTGAATATGGGTGTAGGTCCAGAGAGAGATCCTCAAAGAGGGGCCTCTTTCATTTTGGCCATGTACAAAGGCAGTACCATCTGACACCTTACCTTTTATCTTAGAATAGACCCTGCCTTCCCGAATTAGATTCCTGAGGCCTGGAAGTCTCCATGGAAGGTGGGCCTGGCTTTGGGGAGGAGGGAACCACCCTGCAGGTTGACAAGACATATATGTAGATTTATATCTGCTTCTCTCTACATCACTAAATAATCTTCACAGTTGTACTTTTCATGGCTGCCTGCTGTTTTACCATTGTTGGCTTTCTCTGTGGTTGGATTTTAGATTGTTTTTCAGTTTGTCTCACTGCACAGACTATTCTTGTTTGTACACTATGACCCATAGTTCAGTTTTTTCTTATAGTATGCATCTTTGGTTCTGGAATGCTTGGGTCACTGTATGAGGGTTGGGTTTACTGCATGGAAGTTGTAGCAGAGCTGGCTTCCGTGTGAGCTGGTATAAAGATGGAAAAAATCGCTATCAAATTAAGGAACTGCCTTTCTATTCACATTCGGATTCTGAAAGTGCACGTTATTCATATCAACCTTTGATGTTAGTCAGAGGCGTTTGCACCCACAAATCTGTGTGTCAGTCCTCACATGGCAGCTTTGAGCGTCCAGACATCTTGACGTGGGCTCAAAATAATGACCATAGCTGTTTAGCAAGTAAGATCTTCTAGGAAATCCGTTGATCTGAGGGGAGTCAGTGGAGAATTACTTACTGTTTACTAATACCTTCCCTGTGGTAAGGAAAGAACAAACTCCAATCTTGGCCTGGATGTGTGTGTCCTGTTTTTTTTTTTTTTTTGAAATACTGCTTTTGTGCCTGCTAAAGTTTGTAGCTCCTTATTTGTGACTCTCAGTGTGGTCTCTGGACTGCCCTCTTCCAGGCCCCTGCTCATTGGCCCAGCAGTGGGTCATGGTGCTTTCAGAAAGCCTGGGGGTCTGTATCATTAACCCTACCTGCTGGGCCCAGGCTTCCTTTTCCTCCACAGACTGTGCTGTTCTCCCCGTTCCCTGCAGGGACAGGTTTTCTATTCTGTACTCTTTGGCCCCATCTGCCCCATCGCTGCCACAGTGGGCGGGTGTGACCCTCCTGACATCTGGCCCCCAGGCATGCAGGCTCAGCCTCGGCAGCAGAGGGCATGGACGCTGGGCCTGGCCACTGGCCGGGGAAGACTGACCATTCTCTTGGGGAGGCTTGATGGAAGGCCTGTTCACTGCGTGGACAGGAAGCCAATACACTAAAGGGCTGCACAGATGTCTCTATTGTTTTCTAGAAAAGAAGAAGCCGAGGAGGGGCTGGCCGTCACGAGACTGGCGGGAGCGGAGGAATGCCATCCGGCTGACCACCGAGCACACAGTGGAGACGCTGGTGGTGGCCGATGCTGACATGGTGCAGTACCATGGGGCCGAGGCCGCCCAGAGGTTCATCCTCACTGTTATGAACATGGTGAGTCCGGGACCAGCACCTGACCAGGGGTTTTGCTTCCTCTTGGACGAGCACTCTGCATGTGGGTGCTGGCCATCTTCTCCTGGCGGGGAGGGATGGGGACATACACAGCCTTGTGACCCCTGGGCAACATGGAGCACAGGGGGCTGGGAGGTGCCCCCAGGGAGAGGCCTGACTCGCCAGCCTGGGCTGGTGTGGGGTCAGCGCCTGAGTCTGTCTGCACTCCTCACCAGAGGCCTCCCAAGACCCTTTCTATGGGTAAATGCCCCTCCAAGGGGATTCAACACTAAGTCAGTCCCTGATCTAAGGAGCCAACAGTCTCATAGGAGGAATCAAGATCAGACTTTAATATAAAACAGAGCTTGTCGTGCGCAAGGAAGAGAGGTTATCTAGTTGAGGGAACCAAGGAAGCAACATATGTCTACATCTGATTTGTTGAATGAGGAGTAAGGGAGACCTTCACTTGGTGGGTAGGTTGGGGAGGGACCTCAAGCCTCAGATTTTAGATGCAGGTGGTTGTTTGCACAGAAGGATGTTTGTGTGCATCCCAACTCCACCCATCTATCCACTCTCCTAACAAGCATTTTTGAAGACCTCCTGGCATTGTGTTAGTTGCTAGGGGGACAAATGCCAAAAGACCTGGTCCTTCCCTCAGGAGGCAGTGGTGTCACAGATGGGTGGAATGTCTGTGTTTCAGTAGACATCTCTGCAGGGAGCACTGGGGGCTGGGTGGAGGGCTGGGGAGTGATCACCCCACAGCATGGAGGCTTCATGAAAGAGCTGACCCTTCAACTGTGTTTGCCAGATGGGGGAGTGGTGGCAGGTCATGCAGGGGATGCCGCAGGAGCTGCATCTGGGGGAGGGCAGGTGGTGTGATGTGGCTGCAGTAGGGAGTGGAGCAGCCTTAATGTGGGGACGTGCATAGGGTCAGGATGTTGGCGGGGGGTAAGGCATCCCTAGGAGCGGAGCCGCCGACGGGGAGGGGAGTAGCATGTCTGGAGCGAGGTTTGGAAGAGCAACCCCAGCAGCTGCACTTGCGTGGATTGGAGTGAGAAGGGCAAGAAGGAGCACTGGGAATGGAGTGTGTGAGGAGAGAGGGTGTGAACTAAGGGGCAGGAGTGGGGATGGAGGAGGCATTCATGCAGAGAGGAGGATGTGCTGGGAGGAAAGACCCACAGGACTTGGTGCCTGGCTTGGAGAGGCAGGAGGAGGAGGCGAGAGAAATCCAGGGGACCCCTGGGCTATAACCTGGGTGGTTGGGTGGATGGTGGGCCACTGGATGGGAAAAGAAGGAAGAGAGCATTTGGGGACACAGCGAGGAGTTCTAGTCTGGACAGCCTGGCTTCGAGTTCCCCACGGGAGCTCAGGATGGAGGGCCTGGCTGGAAGTAGGGACTGGGGCTGATCGGCACACAGCTGGGAGCTGCAGCTGTTGGCGTGGCCAGCCATGTCCAGGTGGAGCACATCGGGGAGAAGAGAAGCTGCCCACAGATGGCCCAGTGGAGTGCCAGTCCCAGGGGGCCAGGCAGAGGATGGGGAGCTGGCAGAAGGGCAGACAGACTGGGCAGAGGTTGTCCCTAAGGAAAGAGGTGAGAGGTGCAGGAAGGGAGTGGTTAACAATGCCAGATGCTGCAGCCGGGTCCCCGAAGGGATAGCTTTCGGGATTGTTGGGGGTGGCAGCTGGGTAGGGGCAAACTGAAATGAGACCAGGAAGTGAAGAAGTAGAAACAGCATCGCAGAAGATCTTGGCTGAGGGAGAAGAGAAAAGAGCCTCGCTAGGTGGAATCAGGGTCAAGGAGGACTTTGGAGAGGGAAAGGGGTCAGGGATTACAAGTGTGGGGTTTAGGCCCAGACAGGCCTGGACCAGGACTCCTGCTCTGAGCACAGAGCTGGCTGGCAGTGTCAGAACCGCTCTGAGCTGACTCCCCCTGCAGGAAGAGTAGCGAGGCAGGGGCTTAGCCACCCCGAGGGCCTTGTGCCTGGCTGCGAAGGCACGTAAGGCTCATGGAAAGAGAGTGAGAAGAGAAGGCCAGTCCCTGGGTTGTGCTGCGGGGGGTGAGAGATGGCTAAAGGCAGCCCAAGAGCAGGGAGGCTAGAGACATCGCCAAGGTCACACAGGAAATCACTGGTGGGGCTGTGACCATCAGGCCAAGCCTGTCTGTAACTGGCCACAGGGAAATATATGGTCATGAACCCCACCCTGGGCTAATGGGGGTGGCGAGCCTCATGGCAGTCCTGGCCCCTGTGAAGACAAGGCTCTGGTACTTTGACCTCTGTCAGGGTGACTTGCCAGTGCTTGCTTTCGGGACACGTATCAATTTGCAGGAAATTCCATCTGTCTGGTCCACACGCCCTCAGACAGGCCGTGCTCTAAAGCTGAGGCTGCTTTGGTGGTGCGTGGAGATTAGAGTCTTTAAGGTGAGTTGCTGTTTGGACCCGCAGACCTCCCTATAGGATGGGCTCTTCCAAAAAGCAAATGGAGATGTGGACCCCCTGTGGGACTGATCCAGGACTTATCTGTTTTCAAGACATGGGCACAACATGAGGCACTTGGTCACCCTCCCTTTCAAAGTCATCAACTCTGGGAGTTCCATTAACTTCTTTCCTCCCTCCCTCCCTCCTTCTTTTCTCCCTCCCTCCCTTCCTTCCTCTCGCTTCTTTCCTTCCTTCCTTTCTCTTTCTTTCTTCAGATTTTTAAAACTTGTGGTTAAAAAATACATACCATAAAATTTTCTCTCTCACCCACCTTTAAGTCTTCAGTTCTATGACATTTAGGTACATTCACATTGTTGTACAGCCATCATCACCATTCATCCCCAGAATTCTTTTTGTTTTGCAAAACTGAAACTCTGTACACATTAAACACTAACAGCCCATTCTCCCCTCGCCCAGCCCCTGACAACCAACCTTCTACTTTCTGTCTCTATGAATTTGACAACTCTAGGGACTTTATATAAGTGGAGGTACACAGTATTTGTTCTTTTGTGACTAGTTTATTTCACTCAGCATGATGTCCTCCAGGTTGGTCCATGTTTTAGCAGGTGTCAGAATCTCCTTCCTTTTGGCTGCATAATATTCCACTGTGTGGACAGACTACATTTTGTTTGTCTCTTCATCCATGGATGAACATTCGGGTTGCCTCCTCCTAAGGCTCTGTGCACAATGCTGCTGTGACCATGGTGTACAGTCTATCTCAGTCCCTGCTTTCACTTCTTTTGGGTATGGACCCAGAAGTGGAATTGCTTCTGTTAACTTTTAATGGTTCTTGTCCCTGATTTGAGAAATATTTCTGAGTTCCATATTTGCACAAGCCCAGGTCTCCCCGGTGGCTGATTAATGCTGTAGTTGCCCAGAGGAAGCCCAGGAGTGGGCTGCTGGGGCCTGGCTTGGCACCAGACTCTTTCACCTGTAGGTAATTTTATCTCATTTATATTTTTTGTCCAGGGCACAAGTCCAAAGAATAAACATTCATTACAACAACTAAAGTAATAATAAGGCAAAGCTCCTAGTTTGGCGTTTGCTTTCCTAATTTTATCATCTGGACAAGGGCAGCTATTTTATCACAGGCTGGGAGAGGGGTTGTACGTGGGAACATTGTTCTCCCCACGAGCCATGGGCTGTAAGGACTGAACTACAGGGGCTGAGTGGTGGTGATGCTTGGCTTTAATTTGACCCTCTTCAGTCCTCTTCAGCTGCTGGTACTATGATGTTGGAGGCTCCAGATCCCGCTGCTGAGGGCAGATCTGGGGCCAATCACATTAATTTTGGATTTACATGTTTCTTAATGAGGCCTGCCTAATAAGAGCAGTGGCACTTTGGTGAAGGGCATGTGGCATTTGTACACTGACACTTAGCCCTTCAGTCATCTGCCCTTGGAGTTTCTTGGCCAGTCTGATGAGGCCAGAAAGCAAATGAAAGCAGAGTGTCTGATCCACTCACAGACTCTCGCTACTGGCAACCTGTTTCTGTTGCTCTAGCTGTGGGTCGCTCTTCAGCATATTTAAAAACAAGTTACATTCAGACAGTGCATCTTACTTTAAACAAGGCCGCCCTCCACCATCATCACCGTCCTTCAATTTCTTAAACTCTAGTGTAGAAAATCCAAAGAATTCTATCCTGCCTGTGGCTGTTTCAGAAAAGGGATTTCTGTTAGTAAGATCATCTTTAAGCCAGGCAGATGGGAAAGGATTGTGGCTGGGCCAAGGAGCCCTATCATTAGACAGGGCCCCCGGGTGCAGCCAGCAGGAAGGTGAGGCCAGCCAACCCCTCTTTTTCCTGTCGGACAGTGTTTTCTGTGGCTGTGTAGGACTGAAACAGCTCTGTCTCCTTAGCTCCTCTGGATTTGGAAGGAAATCTGCTGGAGTGGTTGCCACCTTTATTCCAACCAGTTTCTCTCCAGCATCATCTGGTGCCAGTGTCCAGGCGCCCACCCCTCCCTGCCCTCCCACTTGGGTCTCTGTGGGCAGGGGACCGGCTCAACTCTTATGTGCCACTCTGACCCCAGGAGCTAAACACAGACAAGTCCCTGTCCCCAAGGCAGGCCAGGGGGCTTGCGGGACCTATGTGTGTTGTAGCACATCCACAGCTGGGAGAATTTGGTGTCAAGTGCTCACAGTTTTCATAGCATCTTATAGTTGTGGTGTATTAGATCTATGTCAATCAGTAGCCCAATGGCCCATGTTTGAGAGGAAGGAAGGAAGTGTGTTTGTGATGCACTGACCAGTCCAAATGGAAGCTTCCTGATTTCATGTCACTTCCTCCTCATACCTGGTGGATTTCATCATTCTCATTTTACAGAAAGGAAAGAGAGGCTTGTGGGGAGTACAGGGTGCAGACCCAGTGAGTACTTAGCAGGGTGAGGACTCAGGCCTGGGCTGAGGGACCCCTGTACCACCTTGTCAAGGTGATGAGCATATCTCAAATCTGCCTTTTCTCTCCATCTCCACCCTGGACTGACTGCCATTATTTTTTACCTCGACAACTGCAGGAGTTTACTTGCTG